ATGTTGAGCTTCTTCTCAGGTGCATAAGGGAATGGCCATTCATATACCTTCCTTGGAGAAATGTCTACTCAAGTCCTTTGCCGAGTTTTATTAGGGTTGTTTTTTTTGTTGTTGTTGAGTTGTAGGAGATATTTATATATTATAGGTATCACTTCCTTATCAGATGTATGATTTGCAAATATTTTCTCCCATTCTCTAGGTTTTCATTTTCTTGAGAGTATCCTTTGATGCATGAAAGTTCTTAATTTTGATGAAGTCAAATTGGTTTATTTTTTCTTTTGTTGCCTGTGCATTTGGTGTCACAGCCACTAAATTTTGCCAAATTTAATGTCATGAAGATTTTCCCCTCCAATTTTTTTTCTTCTAAGATTTTTACAACTTAGCTTTTAAGTTTAGGTATTTGACTATCGCAATACTTGTGTGTGGTAAAAGATAAGGATCCAAGTTCATTCTTTTATGTGTAGAGATCCAATTTTCCTAGTACCATTTGTTGAAAAGATTGTCCTTTCCCCATTGGGTGGTCTTAGTACACTTGTCAAAAAAATTGACCATATATGTGAGAGTTTTTCTCTAGGCTCTCTGTTCTATTCCATTGGTCTACATGTCTGTTCTTGTGTCAGTACTATTACCTTAACTTCGTAGTAAGTTCCACAGTTGGGAAGTGTGAGTCCTCCAACTTTATCTTTTTTGTCAAGATTATTTTGGCCATTTGGGACCCCTTGCAATTCCATATAAATTTGAGGATTATTTTTCCATTTTTAGGAAGAAGATTATTGAAATTTTGATGGAGATTGCATTGAATTTGGAGATTGTTTTGGGAAATACTGATATCTTAACTATGTTAAGTCTTTCTATCCAAGAGCTTGGATGTCTTTTTATTTATTTAGGTACTCTTTAATTTCTTTCAGCAATGTTTTGTAGTTTTCAGTATAGAAGTCTTTTGCCTCCAGGGTTAGATTTATTCCTATGTATTTAATTATTTTAGATGCTATTGTAAATGGAATTGTTTTATTAGTTTCCTTTTGGATTGTTCATTGTTGGCAAGTAGGAACAACACTAATTTTTTTGTATTAATCTAGTACCACTTAGCTGAATTTATTTACTATCTCTATACCTTTTATGTAGATTCTTCAGGATTTTCTATATATAGGGTCATATCATCTGCAAATAGAGCTTTACCTCTTCCTTTCCAATTTGGGTGCTTTTTACTTCTTTTTGTGTACTAGCTCTGGCAAGAACTTCCAATACAGTGTTGAAGAGTGTGGTCAAAGAGGACATCTTTATTTTGTTTCTGATCTTAGGGGAGAAGATTTCAGTCCTTCACCATTGAATGTGATGTTAACCATAGGTTTTTCATAATTACTTTTTATCATATTGAGGAATTTCCCCTCTATTTCTGGTTTTCTGAGAGTTTTATTATAAAAGGGTGTTGGATGTTGTAAAATGCCTTTCTGCATCAATTGAGATGATCCTGTGGTTATCTTCGTTTGTTTTATTAATGTGATGTATTACATTGGTTGATTTTCTTATGTTGAATCACTCTTCCATTCCTGGAATAAATCTTATTTGGTCATAGTAAATAATACTTGTTAATATGCTGTTGGATTTAATGTGATAATATTATACCAAATATTTATTCATTTATAGTCATAAGGGACATTGGCCTGTCATTTTCTCTTCTTGTGATGTTTTTATCTGGCTTTGGTGTCAGGGTAATGCTGGCTTTGTATAAGGAGTTAAAAAGTGTTTCCTCCTCTTCACTTTTTGGAAGAATTTGAGAAAGATTAATGTGAATTCTTCTTTAAATGTTTGGTAAATTCATCAGTAAAGCCATCTGGTCCAGGACTCCACTTTTTGGGGAGGTTTTTGAATACTGTTCCAATCTCTTTACTTATTATACGTCTGTTAATATTTTCCATTTATTTTTGAGTCAATTTAAATAACTTGTGTATTTCAAGGAATTTATTCATATCTTCTAGGTTATCTAATTTGTTTGCGTACAATTGTTCATAGTAGTCACATAGTCCCTTTTCTCTCTGTAAAGTCGGTAGTAATGTCGCCACTGTCATTTTCAACTTTAGTTATTTGCATTTTCTCTTTTTTCCTTTGTCAGTCCAGCTAAAGGTTTTTAAATTTTGGTAATCTTTGCAAAATACCAACTTTTGGTTTCATTGATTTGCTCTATTTTTTCTATTTTCTATCTTGTTTATCTCTGCTCTAATTCTTATTATTTCCTTCCTCCTACTAGTTTTGGGTTTCATTTGCTCTTCTACTTCAAGTTCCTTATGGTATAAAGTCAGGTTATTGATTTTAGATTTTCTTTTTTAATGTAGACATATATACCTATAAATTTCCCTTTACTGCTTTTACTGCATCCTATAAGTTTTGTCGTGTTGTGTTTTTGTCTCTAGGTATTTTATAATTTATTTTGTGCTGCTTTTGCGTGTGACTCATTGGTTGAGTGTTTTAATTTCAACATATTTGTGAATATTCCAGTTTTACTTCTGTCACTGATTCCTGTTGTGGTTAGAGAAGGTAATTCGTGTGATATCTATCTTTTAAAATTGATTGAGACTTATTTTGTGGCCTAACATATGATGTGGTCTAAGAGAATGTCCTACATGTACTTGAGATGAACGTTTATGCTGATATTGTTGGGTAGCGTGTTCTTTATATGTGTTAGATGTAATTAGTTTATTGTGTTTGTTTATGTCCTCTATTTCTTTATCTTCTGTCTGGTTGTTCTATCTATTATTGAAAGTGGGCAAATGAAGTCTGCTACCATTGTTGTAGAACTATATCTCTCTTCAATTCTGTCAAGTTTTGCTTCATAAATTTTGAGGGTCTATTATTAGGTGTGTAAATATTTATAATTATTATATCTTTTTGCTATATTGACTATTTTATTAATATATAATATAATGTTTCTGTTTGTCTTTGGAAACTTTTTTGATTTAAAGTCTACTTTTTCAGATATTAGTACAGCCGCTCCAGTTCTCTTTTGGTTACTATTTGCATAGAATATCTCTTTCTGTTCTTTTCCTTTTGATCTATTTGTGTCTGATCTAAAGTCAGTCTTTCATAGATAGCATATAGTTGGATTCTAGAGTTTGGGTTTTTTGTCAATCTGCCTTTTCTTTGGACAGTTTAGTCTATTTATATTTAAAGTATTACTGATAAAGAGGAATTTCTATTTTGCTATTTGTTTTCTATATGCTTTATAGTTTTTTGTACCTCATTTCCTCTATTACTGCCATCTTTTGCGTTTAGCTTATTTTTTGTAGTAAATGTTTTGATTCCCTGATCATTTCCATTTACGTATATTTTACAGGTATTTTTGTGTTTACCATGAGAATTACATTTAACATCCTAACGTTATAACAATCTCATTTTAATTTATACCAATGTAACTTCAATTGCATACAAAAACTCTGCTCCTATATTGCTCCACCCCCACCCTTTCTATTGATGCCACAAATTACATCTTTATACATTGTGTGCCCAATAATATACTAATCTTGTAAAAAGTTCTTTCTTAGCTGTCCTAAGAGGAACCAAGGGAGGAAGTGTTCACCCCTGGACCCGTGCTTTAAAGGATCAGCAGAATGTTCCTTACATCAGAGTAATGTGGCAGTGGGCAAACCCTAAAGAGCATGAAGCAAACCCTAAAGAATGTGGATAATCAGAAGGATAAAATTTAGGCTATTTGCACAACCACATTGTCTCATTTGAAGATATTCCTTCCAGAACTGAATTCCTGATGTCTCTGGGCTTTGTTTTACTAAAGATAAGTCCCTCTTTCCCAGGGGATAGTCTCTGTTTTGGTCTGTCTTCAACTGTATGCAGACTGCAATTTGGGGCTAGCACACAGAAGGCAACATGCTCCTGATCCTTGGGAGTGTGTTCTTGCTGAGTGCACTCAAAGGAATACAAAGATGAATTATAGGAGAGTCCAGTTCCAGAGGGACTGTAAGTTTGTGCAGCTGCTCACGACTAACTTACCTTAAAGTGGAATATATGGCTCTCTCTTATTGGTGACTGGGATATTCTGCCTTGTCCCTCCAGAGCAGCATTTTATGTGATTCCTTTCTGCTTCTCTAGTGCATCTGTGTCCAACACATGTTTGCTGAATTAATGCACTGGTTGGGACATCTGTAGGTTCCCTACAACAATTTACTGCTAGGAGGATTATTTGAACCTAACAAATACATATGCAAATATATATATTTACACTTTTGCAAACATGATATGTATAAGCAGTTCCTAGACCAGCGATTTTCAGACCTTGCTACTCATCAGAATCACCCGAGGAACGTTCCCAAAACCCTGATTCCTACGTTCCAACCACAAAGATTATTTTAATGAGTCTGAGGTGGAAACCAGGAATCTACATTTTCAAAACCTACCCAGGTAATTCTGATATGCAGTCAGCATAGAGAACCACAGCCCTTTGACTACCTAAGAAAATTTAGTAGTCAAAAAAGGTATATGAACTGCCTTCTGTTCTTGAGGGAGATTCTGTTAGTATAGAATCTAAGAAATACTTTGACTACCTAAGAAAATTTAGTAGTCAAAAAAGGTATATGAACTGCCTTCTATTCTTGAGGGAGATTCTGTTAGTATAGCACACAGTCAAGAACACTACCAATGCAGTCACTTCCTAGCTGTTATCTTTAGACAAATTACCTAATCGTTCACAGCTTCAGTTTCTTGATGTGTAAAATAGAGGATATAGGTTTACCATGAGGATTTATGTAAAGCTTCAGCGCAGAAGCTGTACTATACAGCACACGGTAAATGTTGGCCAGATTTATTCGGCTGTACACATAAGCCACTGGATTTGTCTGGATGCAGAAGTCTACTGCGGTACACCTTCTTCAGCCAGCTCTTGGGAAAGCGGAGGTGGTTTCCTGGTACCCCAGGAAGTGGAGGATACTAAAGCCATGTCACAGGGAGGGGGACTATTCTTGGTGCGCGCTTGCTTGCCGGCGTCTAGTTGCTGCTCCGCACGCGTCCACCAGGGGCCGCTCGAGCTACCTAAGCTCCGTGGGCTACCCGGCGGCGCCCCCGCGCGTGCTCACTCGGAGCAGCGCGCGCCCCGCAATCGCCGCAGCCGTCCCCGCCTCCGGCCGCCGCTCCGAAGTGATTGCCCAAACCAAGCCTCTGTGGCTGGGTACGGAAGCGCTTTCGGGACAAAAATTCTCCCTCAATTGTGGTCTGCATTCCTTCGGCCGGTGGGCTGATCTGGGGCGGGAAGGATTAGCGCCTCAGTTGCGCTGCAGCCGGGGAGGAAGGAGGAGGCCGAGCCCGGGGTGGAGTTCTGGCAGACGGGCTAGACCGGGCGAGACGCCGCCGCTGCCCGGATGTTGCGATGGCTGATCGGGGGAGGCCGAGAACCGCAGGGACTGGCCGAGGTAAACCCCGGGCGGGCCTGCCCTGCGCCCTCCGAGCTTGCTGGAGGGGCGGCTTCGTTCCGGTTCGGCCTCCCTGGGTTCCGACCGCGGGGACCCGGGCGGAGGCGTGGCTGGGTGCTGAGTTAGTTCAGTTCGCAGTCCTCACGCCGGTGGGGGCGGAGGGCGCGCGAGCCGGGGCTCCTTGGACCGGACCCGGCGGGCCCCCAAACGCACCCTGGAGTTGCAGACCCCCGGCCCCGTTCCACGGCTAGCCGAATCGTGAGACCCTGGCTCAGGGTCTGCAGTCCTATTGGGACCTGTGACAACTTAGGGCTTCTGGCTACCGAAACTATCTTCATTTCCACTTAAAAAGTATCCAATTTAGCTAGAAAAGAACGAGTTGTGACCGCAGCTTTCCACTTTTGGTTTGAATTGGTGCCTCTTCCTGGTGTCAGCTGATCCTAGCTCAGGGAATATAAAATTAATTTACTTATCCAAGAACCAAAAAAGGATATAATTATTTTTAAAAAGTAATAATTTGCTTCAAGGTCAAGAACATGATTTTCTAATTAACTGCTGTTTTTGGTTTCATAGTCACACACTCTTCATGGGCCTTTATTTGAACAGACCGTGTGTAATGAGATTTACTTTTGAAATATGAATACAATGATTTTTGCAGTCTTGAAAATTTTGAGGTCTGGAATTTATTTCCTATGCCACACAAGAACAGAATTTGTGAATTCCATTTTATTTCTCATAGGAAGTATTTGTTTAGATTGTTAAAAGTAAGAAATTGGATTGTTGAGAGTAGGCAGTCTACTGTTCTAACTTCCTCATGTCTTTGCAGTTGACGGTATTGTCTGTTTTTAAAATTTTCTTGTTTCATATTAATCCTAAATCCTTGAGATTGTGGAAGAATTGTGGATTACTAAATAGCCACATATTGTATATACGACATTTTGGATAATTCTGTTTTAACCTGGTTCTTTGGTGAATCGTGTAATTTGATTAACCAGTTCTCCCATTCCTGGCAAGTTTTCACTGGAGGGGAAGCAGTTTATACAGTTTTCAAATTTCTCACCACAACCTCTGCTAGAAGGAAGACAGAATAAATACAAAATTAATGCTTTGTGGTGATTTTTTTTTTTGGAAGACATTTATGCATGTTTTAAATTTATATATTTCTTCATATGAAGGTAAATTCAGTTGTATAACTGCTGTGAATTTGTACATTATCAGAACCTATGATTTTCCCTAATTTATGCAAGAACTTTGTATCCAGGCTTCTTGTTTAAGCAGTGGTTCTCAACTGGGGTGATTTTTGCCCCGCAGGAGGCATTTGGCAATGTCTGGAGACATTTTTGGTTGTCATGCCTTGCAGAGCGGCAGTTCTACTGGCATCCAATGTGTATAGACCAGGAATGTTGCTAAATATCCTACAATGCACAGGACAGCGCTCAACAACAAAGAATTATCTGGGCCGGGAGCGGTGGCTCACTCCTGTATTCCCAGCACTTTGGAGGGCGGAGGGGAGCGGATCACTTGAGGTCAGGAGTTCAAGACCAGCCTGGCCGACATGGCGAAACCCTGTCTCTACTAAAAATACAAAAATTAGCTGGGCGTGGTGGTGCGGGGAAAAAAAAAAAAAAATTATCTCGCCCAAAAATATCAGCATCAAGTTTGAGAAATCCAGAGTCGATTTCATGCCTTCCTTTATTCATTTAGCAAACACGTATTGAGTGCTTGTAATGGATGAGGCACTGTTTCACTATTTTATGTCTTTGATGTGCAGTTTAGTTTCTGCCGCATTTTAACTGAGAAACATGCTTTCTGAAATGCTGAGTTGGATTGGCCCATTAATTTTTTTAAAGTGAGGTTTAATAGGATGCAATTTACATAAAATAAAATTCACCCTTTTGTAAATTTATGGTGATTTGAAAATACTGAAATTCATGATTCGAATTTGTGGTAGGAGAAGTGTTTTATGTGGAATTGGTAGTTATTTAGTTGATATAAGGAGAAATAATATTTAGTATTAGAACATGATATCTTAAAGCTTTTAAAAATCTTGTGTTCTCAGATGTATACCATGCAGTTGTATTCCAATATGGTCTTACAAATCATTTTATCTCTTTTTTTGTCTTTTGTTTTTTGCTTTTTTTTTTTTTTTCAATACAAGAAATCTCCTTTACAGACAATAGGTGAAGAACAAACCCAGAATCCCTACACTGAACTGCTTGTACTAAAAGCTCATCATGATATTGTACGATTTCTGGTACAGTTAGATGACTACAGGTAAGAAACTATAGTGATCTAATTGACTATTGTGTGGGAAGAGGTTTTAGGGAATTTTATGTTAAACACCTTTAAAATTAATACATCTTTTCTAAAAATTTTAAAACTGATCATTAGTAACATTTAGTAGATATTAAAATTGGCCTCTGATGAAATACGTATCTGGAGTCTTTTTTTGCCCAAAGTCATGGTGTCATGTCTGGTGATTTGAGAGTTTGTTTGTTTGCATTCTCAGAAATATTCTTAATAGTTTAAAAGAAGTGTATGACTTTAAAATTTGGGTGGGAGTTATAACAGTATATCAAGGAGAACCTGTATTTGAGAAACAAATATGATAAATGTTTAAGTATCAGGTACCTACCAGGAATGTTTTATTTTTAGTGGAAGGTAAGGATTTAATCCAAAGTTTTTGTTATTGGTGAAACCACTTGAAAATGTACATTATTCTGTACTTCCTTGCTAACATGTATAATAGTTGTGTTTAATATATTTGCAAATAAAGGTGAAGGTATATAGGTTTTAGGACTGTATACTGTTATTGATCTGTATATATGTATATTAAACCCATATTCAACTATATATTTCTCCTTTATAGCATGTTTCACCATAACAATTACATAATTAGTGGTGTAACTCAGTATTTTCATCCTCTCTAAAATGTAAGCTTCATGAGAATGAGGCTATGTTTTTCTTATTCACCATGTTTTCTTAGTACCTAGTACAGTGCCTTACAGGTAGCAGATAATTCATAGATGGTGGCTGAGTGAATGATTCCCTAGACTACTAAGCATCTACATTGTGTGCCATCCTTATCCCCCAACTTCATTTCTGTTGTCTCTACAAGTTTTTCTGCTTTTATCTCTAATTTTCTCTTTTGCCTTTGCTGTTTTTTTTCTTTCATTTTTCAGTCCATGGATGAGTGTTACTGTGATTATTCCTAACTCTGACCACCACTTCTGCTATTAACCTTGTCTTTTCTCTTCTTTCTTTTTTTTTAAATTTAATTTTTAAAAATAGAGACAGGGTCTCACTATGTTGCTCAGGCTGGTCTCGAACTTCTGGGCTCAAGCTGTCTTCCCACCTCGGCCTCCCAAAATGTTGGGATTACAGGCGTGAGCCACCATTCTCAGCCTTCTCTCTGCTTTTTAAATGTTACTGGTATTTAGTTGCTTTTACCATGTGCAGTGCAGTTCTGACATTACCTGGAGTTAGGTCAAATTCCACAGGTGAAGGGCATAGTCTGTACAACACCCCTTGCCAGAGACACTAGCTGCAAGGCATGTATGGGTTTGTAGGCCACCTGCATGTCCACCTGCTGGCTAAAAGTTCCCACTGTTCCCTCAGGTCTGATAATTCACTAGAAGGACTCATAGAACTGAGAAAAGCACTATACACAGGATTACAGTTTTATTATAAAAGGTACAAATCAGGACCTGCCAAATGAAAGGATGGATATAGGGCAAGGCCTAGGGGGTCCCACATGCAAAGCTTCCGTGTCTCAAGACTCCTCGTCCTCTTGGCACATCAGTGTGTATCACCAATGAATGAGCACACTTGAACTTTGGGTGTCCAGAGCTTTCATTTGTAGGCATGATTGTTTGAATCACTGGTCACATAACCGAACTCAATCTTCAGTCCCCACCCTCCCCACCATGGCTGGTAGTACAAAGCCCATACCTTTAAATCACGTGGTTCATTTTTCCAGCTTGGCCAGCCTCTTTCCTGATGTTATCTCAGGGCCCACTGTGAGTTGTTCCATTAGCATAAACTTAGGTGTGGTCCAGGGGACCCACCATGAATATGAAGACATTCTTACCACTTGGAAAATTCCAAGGGTTTAGAGACTCCCTTCTAGGAACCAGAGACAAAGTCCAGCAAAGTTATTAAACAGTACTGTGTTTCTTAACTTTTGCTTGAAAAGATTTGTCTCATGTATATTACTGGCCTGTCAGCACTGTTTTCCTATTGTGGTGCAAGTCAACCAAATCATGACATGTTAATCATCTGGAGCCTTTTTTTTGGCAGTATTACTTGTTGCTGTGTCCTGAGAGACACTCCATTTATTTAAGTGGTCATTTTTGTGGGGAACTGATTATTTCTGGAAAGGTAAGATTTTGGACAGCTAAAGTTTTCTTGTGCTATATTTTACCCAAGTAAGTTGCTAGATTAAAGAAAATCTGGGGTCGGGCGCAGCGGCTCACGCCTGTAATCCCAGCACTTTGGGAGGCTGAGGTGGGCAGATCACGAGGTCAGGAGATCGAGACCATCCTGGCTAACACAGTGAAACCCCGTCTCTACTAAAAAATACAAAAAACTAGCCGGGCGAGGTGGCGGGCGCCTGTAGTCCCAGCTACTTGGGAGGCTGAGGCAGGAGAATGGCGGGAACCCGGGAGGCGGAGCTTGCAGTGAGCTGAGATTGTGCCACTGCACTCTAGCCTGGGCGACTGAGCAAGACTCTGTCTCAAAAAAAAAAAAAAAAAAAAAAAAAAAAATCTGATAATTTCTTATAATCACAAATACTTGGATGTTAAGGAATCCTAAAGTTATTTTGTCTAGGAAAGTTAAATAATAAATACACAGAATGTGATCAGGTTGTGGACTTTAAATGTTTATATAAATTGTTAAGAGTCCATGTTCGTTGTTGTCTTTCCTCTGTGAAATATCCTCTTGGCTATTCCTATCCCATAGTGAGAAGATGACTCTGTAGAAGAAGCCAGCCTATAGAATAATGGTTAGTGTACAAACGCTGACATATATTTGGTTCTGTTTTCCCCACGGTGGTGCTCACATATACTTTAGCTGTTTAATGATAGAGTAGATATTCTGCAAAGAGTAAAAAGCCATATGTGGGCCGGGCGCGGTGGCTCAAGCCTGTAATCCCAGCACTTTGGGAGGCCGAGACGGGCGGATCACGAGGTCAGGAGATCGAGACATTCTCTTAACTCGTTTGAACCCCCCCCCGTTCTACTAAACTCAAACTAGCCTGCGATTATCGCTGTAGTCCACTTGACTCGGTGATGGCTGAGCAGCGAGAATGCGTTAACCCTTGAGGCGGAGCTTGCAGTGAGCTGAGTCGGCTGCACTCCGCCCTGGGGAAGAGCGGAGGGCTCCGCTCAAAAAAAAAAAAAAAAAAAAAAAAAAAGCCATATGTGAGTATGTTAGTTATCTATTGCTCTATCAGCTATCATGCCAGACTTACTGGCTTAACACATCCCCATCTATTTAGCTCATTATTCTGCAGGATGGCAGTTCGGGCTAGGCTCAGCTGGGTGAGTCTGTCTTTGCACCAGGAACAGCTGATCTGGGCTAGGTTCACTTATGCCTCTGTCAGCTGATAGATTGGCGGGAGCTGGCTGGTTCATTTCAGCTGAAGGTCTTAGCTGAAATGACTGTGGTCTCCCTCCATGTGATTTCTCAGGTGCTTGTTCACATAATGATCATGGAGTTCTAATAGCAGCAGAAGGGCAAGCCCCAAGCTAAGACGCTTTTCAAGTCTCAGCTTGCATCATGTTTGCTGCTGTTTCATCAGCCAAAGCAAGTTAGGAGCTGGCACAAATTCAGTGAGTGGGTAAATAAACTTGACCTCTCACAGTAGAAGTAACTAAGTCCTATTGCTAATGGTGGTGGGAATATTGGGCGGGGGAATAATTTGTGGTCAGTTTCTGATCTACCACAGTGAATCTGAGATAGACGAAGAAGCCTGCTTTTTGTCTTTTGTAATCCAATGATGATACGACTTCATGATTCACATTTAATTCTTTGAAAAGTCATTATCAAATTTACATATCAAGTATGAAGTTTTTCAGTCATTTGCTGACCTGTAGAACTTTCAGTCTGTATGTTGTTTTTAAAAATTTAATTCTGTAGTGTACTAAAAAAAAAAAAAATGAAAGTCATTCTTGGTAAGGACACAGGAAAATCTACGAAGTATAAACATATTATGAACAGAATTAAGAACTGAATGTTTTTACTCTTAATAGTTTAGAATTATCTTTACCACTGCATATGTACATTATGCATTGTCAAATTAGAGAAATACCTTTCCAGTTTTTAAGTTTTATATCGTTACACTTTTTTTGTTTCTTAGTTTTTGAAGACATTACACTGTTTTTTTTTGGTCAGCTGTTATAATCCAGGTTTCACGCTTCAAGTCTTTAGATAATATCATCTTATTGAAAATTTTGCAGAAGGATTTTCTTGTTTTCTCGGTGGCTCAGCTAAAATCAGTGAGTGGAAAATTTTCTCAGATTGGTTTTTGAAGATACCCAATAAATCCTGTATAACCTAACAGACAGCTGCCTTTTCTTTTTTTCTTTAGTATTTTTTGAACATGAAGTGAGGGTCATATTGATTGGGAGATCACTAAAGAAGGCTAAGCTTCAGCAACAGTCTTCCAAAAAATGGACTGTGCTAAAATTGCATGTAATACTCTAGCATTTGACACATTAAACTAAACTGAGTTCGTAACACATTTTAAGAAGAGTTTTCTCTCTTGCTCATTTGACCATTCCTTGCTCCTTCAGGAAACAGACAAGGTTATGTAGGATGGTGATCATGACTGGAAAAGAATCAGATGACCCATGAAGTGCCAGACTGGAGAACAAAATGTGCCTCTAGGATGGTTGGTGAAGCTGTACATTCACAAGAAAGTAAATAAACTCAGTATAGCTTGATCCATTAAAAGTGAACAATATGCTTATTTTTAAGGAAATATTCTCAAGCTAAACATATTCTTTCTTATACACTAACCTTCAGAGAATAGAAATCAGTATAGTTCAGATCCTAGGATCTGGGTCCCCTGGGAAACAGTCAGTATAGTTTAGATCCTTCTAGTACCTGGGTTCCCTGGGAAGGAGACACTAAAACGGGGTTAAGCATGCAATAGGTTTATTAGAGAGAAAGCCAATGAAAGGAGAAGGGAGGAAGCAGAATTGGACAAGAGGAGCTGTCTCAGACTCTGATGCAGATGTGACAAAGTCTCTGCCAGCCCAATGGAGACC